CTTCAAATTTTTAACAAGTTTTAAAATCTTCTTTAGATATAATTTAATTTAATTTAAAAAATACATGTTACAAAAAGATTCTATATTTTTAAAATCATTTGTTGTAAATAAATCCAATATTACTATAAATGACAAATACGTTATAATTAATTTTGTATTTTTTATTAAAATTTATTACAAGCATTCTCATTTGATATTAAATCTTTTAAAACTATAATAATATAATTTATATGAGAACAAAATTACAGTATCAAAATTGTTATAACATTAAGATTCAGAATAAATATCTTATAAAAATATATTGTATTTTTGACAAATTTTATTTCAAAAAATTTTATTTGTCAAAAGAACAAATTTTTTAAAATATAACAAAATTTATCTTGAAAATTTTAATAATATTAATCTGTTGTTTTAATATATTCATGTATATTGCTCAATTTATGGTAAGCACTACATTGATTAATAAAACTCCATCTTTGTTTATCAAACTATAAAAATAAAAATATATATTAGAATAAAATAAATATAATTAAAATAAAAATTTACAAAATTAAATGTACAGTGCTATCTTTTTCCATTTGTTTTTCTTTCTCATATTTATTTTCTAATTCTAGAGATTTTTCTTCACCATTAAAGTATCTGTAATAATATAATTTAATAATATTTTATGCAAATTTAATATTTTTTTTAATAAGTTACCCAAAATTGTGTTCTAAATTGAATTTATAATCTTGTGTTTGTAAAGTTGGATACTTTTGAGTATCATTGAAAGATTTAAATTGCCATTGATTTTGAAAATGTGAAGTTTTCTCCTTTACAATTGATGACATCATTTTATTATACATTGATTCTTTAAAATTAAATAATTATGTTAGTATCTTGTATAAATTTAAGATAGAATTATATTATTTTTAATACCTTCTTCATTCATTGATAAAATTTGAAATTTCTTTTCTGGTTCATTTAATTTTGTATAAAATTGCTCTTGAACACCATTATCAGATAAACATTGATTTACATTTTCCATGTGTATTATATTAGTGCTATTGTTAATAATTATATTTATTCGTTCATGCAATTCCATTAATTCTTTCATATTCAATGACTACAAATGTTTAATTATTAATTAAATGTTATTATTATATAAAAATGCGATTACATACTAATAACCAATTTTCTGAATCAAACACTTTTTCATTTTTTATATCATCTTCAAATTGTTTTTGTAAAACTTCAATATTTGCTTTATGTCTCTCACAAAGTGCATTTAAACTACTATCATAATTTTTCTTCATTAATATTAATTTATCTTGATATTCTTCCATCTGAGACTGCAAAAATTATAAAAATATTAAAATAAAAATATTATAGAATATATATAATATGTAAAATATATAATTAATAGTTAAATATAATTTAGTAATTAAAATAGTATATTTTATTGTTATATTAATATTAAATAAAAATTACTTTAAGAATAATACGAAGATCATCATTTTCTTGCACTAAATGTTTTATGACTTCTTTAGGATGTTTTATTTCAAAATCTTTATTCTCCATTTTATTTTGATTTACATTATGTTCATTTGTAATATTTTTTTCTTTATATTTTGTATTTATATTATTATCTTGTAAAGAATCAAATCGTTCAAACGTTATATAATTATTTTTTAACAATTCGTCTTTTGTATTTACATTATTCAATAATTGTATATCAATTTCTTCTATTTCATTTTCTTTTATTTCTCGTTTTTGATCATTATATTTTTGTTTAAAATCTTCATTTGTATTATCTATAGTTAATTCTATTTCTCGATCTTGATGAATCTAAAAATAAAACAAGTATATAATTAATTAATAATAAATAAAAGACACATAAGAATATATTTTACTAACTATGTATTTATCTTGCAAATTTTTAATATTTGATGATTCTTCTAAATTAGGTAGCTTTTTAAGATTTAATAATCTTTCATAAATTTTATTAGAAAGAGCATATAATTTATTTTTTAAATTTTCTTCTATCATTTCATTGCGTAGTCTAGTCGATAATTCAGAAATTTCATTTTTCCAATATTCTACATCTTTTTTCAAGATTTCATTTTCACGTAAAAATGCATCTAAACTAATATCAAGTTTTTTATTATTATTTTGATCATTTATAAGTTGATTTCTTAAGTTATTGAGTTCAATTTTTAATTTCTTTTCATTTTTATCCAATTTCGTTAGATTTTCTTGCATTGTATATATAATATTAATTTTATCATTTTGTTCAGTTAAGGATATAATTGTTAAATTCATTTCCATAAGTTTATGTTCCATATCTTTTACTTTTTCATTTAATAACTTATTTTCATTTTCCAACTTCAAAATTTCACAATGTTTTCCTTCCATTGCATTTTCATATTCAGCAATTTTTTGTGATAAAATATTATCAATTTTATCAATATTGCTTTTCAAACTAATTATAGTTTTATCCTTTGTAGAAATAATCATATTAGCTTGAATATTATTTTTTTTTAATTCATTATTTTCAAATTGTGAATCAATTAATCTACAAATATGTTAAGAATTGAAATATAATTAAATAAAATTAAAAATTATAAATAAAAATTTAACTAATGAAAAAAATAATTAAATATTTTTATAAAACAAAATAAATATTACCTTTTTTCTATTTCTTTAATTTTATTTTCCAAAACAGTATTTAAATTTTTAGTTTCAAGGAATTCATGAACTTTCTGTGATAAATTTTTAATTTGTTTGTTTTTCATTACTAATTGTTTCTTGCTTTGTTGACATTCTTTTGATAATCTATTTTTTATATTTTCTAGATTTTTGTTCTCTTTTTTTAATGTATTACAATCTTTATCATATATGGACAACTCATTTTTAAATACTTCAAGTTGCCCTTCTAATTTCAATATAAGATCATCTTTTTTATTAAGATCTATGGTCATTTTTGATAATTGCTCTTTAATATTATTTTCAAACTTTTCTTCTTTTAAACAATCACCTTCTCCTCTTTGTTGTTGAGCCATTTCCTTTTTTAATTGAGCTATTTCTACATCTTTCCTTTTTAATTCTTTTTGTTGTTCTCCTATTCTTTCAATTATTTGTATATGTTGATCTCCAGCACCTTAATAAATTACTTTTTGACATTAATTATTATATTAATTAATATATTTGATATTTATTTATAATTAAATTTATCATTTTTAAATATTTCTAAGTAAATAAATAAAAATATGATATATTTAATATATATATTTTACTTATTTATATTACATATTTATTATATATTATATAATTATAATGCAATTAATATATATATTTATATTATTTATATTATTTATATTATATATTTATATATTTTATTTATTTATATTTAAATAATTATAATGCAATATAATTATAATTAATATAATTACCTTGAAGAATTGTACTTATTTTATTAATACACGATTTCAAATATGTTTCAATTGCTCGATTAATTTTTTCATCACATAAATGTTTTTTTTCCGTATATAAAATTTCATTTAATAACTGATATAAAATCTCTTCAATAAATTCATTTATCTTATTTTGTATCTGTAATAAATCACTAGGAAGCTCTTTAATGTAAGAATTATATTTTATTTGTTCTTCTTTATGTTGATTATACAAATCAGAAATTACTTGCTTTTTTGAGATTATATCTAAAAAAAGTTGATATATTAATGTATATTAATAATTAATTATTATTAATGTATATTAATAATAATTTTATAAAAAATACAAACCAGCAACTTAAATTACCTTGAGATATATTAATAGCTGATTGTGTATCTTTAAGTATTTCATAAAAATAGTAAGTTTGTTTAATCATTACAGGGCGTTCAATTTCTACATATATTTGTAATTTTTGTGTAAGAGATCGCAATTTTATAATAAAATGCGTAAAATATTTAATGATTTCTTTTTCTATCTTATCTATATTATCATTTCTACTCAATTTAATCATATAATTATGATATTCCTATTAAAAGATATATTATTTGTTTTATGAAAAATATTAAACAAATGAAAAATATTACCTTTTGGAATTCATGAAAATCGAAATTATTTATTGTTTCATTTAATAAATTTGTATTATTAAATGAATTATTAGGTGAAATAGTGTCTAATTCTAATTCACTTGAATTATTTTCATTTTGCCTTACATCAAATAAAACTATGTTGTCCTTAACTAAAATATATGAGTTTGATAATACTGATTTTCAACACAATATATAATTTATATATATATATTTTAAAAAATATTACTTATATTTTTTGAATCCTCTTTAGATTCATCAAAAAATTCTTCACAAATTATATTTTTTAAATTTTGATTAGAATAATTTTGCTGTTTATTATTTTTTATATAGTGTTCTAAATCTCCTATTTGTTGTAAATAATTCTCTCTTTCTATTTTGTAACTTTGAAATCTTGTCATAATAATGTTTATATTGTATAATATATTATTTGCTTCTTCACCAATATCCAAGTTACATTTTGTACAACTACAAACTTCTTCACAAACATCATTAAGCTCTTCTAAATTGTTTAAAATGTATTTTATATTATTGAAAAAATCACTAATATCTTGCTTCATAGAAACTAATTGCTCTTGATATTGAGAAATCTTAATATCCTTATTTTGAATTTCAGTTTTTAAAATCTCCAATGTATTGTTTGTTTCCATCTAATAATTAGAATTAAAAAACATAAAAACATAAAATATAATAATTATAAATTAATAAAATTTAATACATATAATAAAAATAATATACTTGTTCATTATATTTAATAGATAGTTCTTTAATCACTTTTAACAATTGATTTAATTTTTCTTCTTGATCTGTTAATAGACAATGCTGCTCATAATTTTGTTTCTTAAGTTCGTCTCTTTCTTTTAATACATTTTTTAATTGTTCTAAAGATTCATTATAATTTTTTGCTAATTCTTCCATGTCTTGTACTTTTTTCTATGATATAGAAAGAATAAATAATATTTTTTTTTAAATTTTAATTTTAAATATAAATAATAACTAACTAAAAGTGACTCTTTTTCTAATCGTAATGTTATTGTTTCTTTAATACATAATTGAAGCTTTTCAATTTCTTGAGAATATAAATAACAACTTTCACATTTCTCATTTAAATCTTGTTTGAGTTGTTCCATTAAGCATTTATAACCATGGAGCTAGAAAAAAAAAGATAATATTTATAAAATAAAATGATAATATTAATAAAAATTATATTACTTTTTGCTTCAAATCTTCTATTTCATAATTACGCTCATGATCTAATTTGAACAATTTTTCATGTAATATCTGTATAATAATTATTAAATATTAATTGACTTAAATATTTTTATACATCATACTTTAAAAATTAATCTGTAAGATTATATTTTGTAACTTGCTTTAAGATTCTCTTGTTGAGTGTGTATAAAACTTTCCTTTTCTTTTAATAAAATTTCCAAATGTTTATTCATATCACGTAATTCTTCTAATTCAGCATCTCTTACCTGAAGAAAATAAAAATATAAATTATTATATAATTATAGACTTACATTATAATTATAAACTTATATATCATACACAAAGTTCATTTTTTAAGACAATGATTTCAGAATCTTTTTGAATGATAATTCCTTTGTGAATACTATTATGCCGATCAAAATCAGATTCTGTCCCTATTTCAGTATCAGATTCTGTTGGACTTTCAATATCTTGTGAGCTATCACTACAAGATGCATCACATTCAAAACTTTGTTCCTCGTGATTATTTGTTTGTGTACTACTTTTGTCTAGATCTACTACACTGTTATCCTCGTCACTAGATTTGGATGTGAATGATGTTTGTGACATTGTCTAAATAATATAATATTTATATAAATATATTACTAAAATAATAAAAAGTACAATTAGATTGGCAATTAGATCCATACAGATACTGTTATAGTTTTATTTAAATATTTATCAACTTGATCATTGATTTGTACTTCTACATCACGTGTTTCTTTTTCTACCTATAAATAGATATTAAATTCATTAAAATGATATTAATAATAATATGAAAAATTTGATTGATATATTATAACTACTTGTAAAGCTACATCAACATATTCTATCCAGGATGATGTCTTTTCACTGTATTCTGCAACATTCAACATATTCTAAATTAAAATGAAGAAAATTAAAAATTTTATAAATACTTTTATTTATATTGTTTTACCTGAAATAGGAAATGATTTCAAAATAGATCTACATGATGATATTAAATTATAATTTTTCAAAGATGAATCAAACGCTGTTAAAGAATATAATTGATTATGATTTGTTATAGTTGATGCATTTTGTTTATTTTGTAAATTTCTCTCACAAGGTATATGAATTGATAAATATGAATTTGAATGAATCACAGGACCTGATTTGCTCATATTAAAAAATGCATCCTTTAATAATCCTGTTGTATAATTGTTTTTCTGTGACGAAGTTTTTACTTTTGAAATATAATCCTAAAAAATAAAGTAATAAGAGATTATTGCATAATTTTGTATTATATATAGTATATTTATATTATATAATAGTATAATATAAAATATGTTTACTAAATTTCTTAATTCTTCTTCTTGTTCAGGAGTAAGTCTAAGACTCTTATATTTGTTAAGTTCTCTTTTAACTGCTTGAAGTTTATTTTGAGTTTCTGAATTGAGTTGAATAATATTATCAATGACTACATTAAATGGTATTATTTTTCCTATCTACAAAAAAAGATAGTTGGAAATTTTTATTTTAAATTTTATTATTTACTTAAGTACATACTGATGAATCATGTTCATTGAGTTCACGAAAATAACGTGAATTTTCTAAAGAATTCGGACTCCAAGCTCTAATATCCGAACAAGAATCATGTAATTTTAATCGACCTTCTAAACGTTTTTTCGGTAAAACATAATCACCATATATCAAAGGTGTTCCAGAGTTATGTTTACTAGTTAAAAAAATTCGAGGTCCATGTTCTACGTAAGACATATTTACTTTCTTTTTCTTTATTCAATATCAGTTTATATATTAATTACTACTGTTAACATAATTGATGAAATCTATATAAAATTCTTCTTTTAAAAATACAATTTATAAAATAAATTGCATTATATATTTGATTGTTTTTATTTACATACTATAGTAACTATAAGAAACAAAACCTAAAATAATATAAATGGTGATCAACATAAAATTCATACATAAAATTCATAATAAATATTTTATTTTATAAATAATCATTAGAAAGAATTGTATTACATTTATCATAATTTTTCGTTTCTACTAAAATAATATAATCTATAAAATCTATAATATATAATGTGAATACAATATGAATGTGGTATGAATTTTGTAGTAAATTACTTAAAATATAGAGAATAATGAAATGAAGATAACAAGTAATTTATATTGATATGTATATTTAAGTATAAAATATTATATATAGATTGTCAGAACATATATATATATATATATATATATATATATATACAATTCTTAAATACAT